TAATCTGACTTTACTGCCAGATCATTTGACTTTCTGTGCATCTGTATTGGGTTATTTAGACAGTTGTAGTTTTAAAAACGACACTAAACATTCAAAAATCATTTGCCTAACTTCACAGTGAGTTAAAATCCGATTCATCACATAATTCATGTTATATTTCAGTGTAGATTGATGATGTTCAAATGATCAAACATAATGAATGACAATTATCAAACGAACTTGGAATAGATACCGAGCTCCGGTAGCCGTAGATGTAATGCGAAATGTATTGGATCGTTTCGTATAATCCTTTGTTTCACAAGCAGTTAATAGATTCTGTCCCACCAATAATCCAGTCTCTCCACGAAATGTATTGGATTGAGGACTTAAACACAAAACAAAATGACAAAATGTTTTTTTAGAACTTGAGAATGAAATTATTTCCTCAAATAACTATTTAGACAAAGTGAAGAACTAATGCAAATTTAACACGTTTCTCGGCTCTAACGGATAATGAGTGGACTTGGTAAAGGTGGAAAGTCTCGTACTAAGGTGAAAACGCGATCAGCCCGTGCTAGTCTGCAGTTCCCAGTTGGTCGTTTCCATCGCCTCCTTTGCAAGGGTAACTACGCAGAACGTCTCCGAGTTGGTGCCCCTGTTTATTTGGCGGCTGTCCTCGAGCACCTGGCGGCTGAAGTTCTTGAGTTGGCTGACAATGCCGCTCGTGACAATGAAATGTGTAATGTTATGTTCCATTTATAATTGATGGCAGTTCAATGAAGTGGTCATGAATAGTTAGATCATTGGTAAAGCAAATCATGCATATCGATTTATGACAAGGTTTCAATGAGTAAGAGCTAACTATTCTCCATTGAATTTCTAAGAACTAAGCATCCAATAAAAACGGAATTTTTCGTTTAAGATAACCACATACTTCCAATTTCCATCACACGATCTACGAACGCTTTATCCCAAATGTTTGGAATATTAGTGAATTTTACGAATCATTTGACTGGTGATTTGTACAAACCACGAAATAGTTTAATTTGTGTGCGAATTGTAATCGTTTAGTATTTTCTATATAAATATCATACTACTTTAACATAATTTAAGTAGTAACATCAGAAGCCCATCAAAATTTACGGCTTATCGTGAACTTCGGAGAACACTATTTGATCAACTCATGAATTGGTATAAATAGTACATGAGGGTATTTCATCCATACTACAACTGGCCTGAGATGTAAAGTACTAGTGACAGAAAAATCAACAATGATGGGTGAAATATTTTTTCATTTCAGCATAAAAATGTAAACTCACTTATCTTCATTGTAATCAGATTTGTTTTTATAGGCTAACAGCTCTTTAACTGATGTATTTAAGACCATATATAGTTCATACCAGGAACGATCACGAGATTTGCAATTATGATTAATCCACTCGTGTTTTCTCATTAAATAGTCACTTATAGAATCTATAAACAGTGTTTAGAAGAAATGATGGAAGTAAATTGAATAGCCTAATGAAAGTTAACATTTAACGAACAAAACACTACGCTTGGAAGTCATTTAGTAGTCATACCGTAACTCATAAATTTGATGCCTATAAAATTCAGTAATCATTGCTCTAGTCTACATATATATAGTAAAGAAAACACGTTTAGTTTATTTAAACATGCTTTAGTGAACAGAACATGGATAAGGACAATTGAATGTTGCATGTCAATAAAATCTGAAAACTAGATATTAAATCGTTTAATTTGCAAAATGTCCACCAGTTGTCTCATAATGCCTCAGACTTCATTGTTCTTACATTTTCATACAAGTTGCATTCTATTCCCGCTCTTGCTTTCTTGATCTTCCCTCATCTTCTGCTGCCAGACATTACATTCCTGTCTCGCATAATATACTACTTATATCAATATAAGTAACACGCACCACAATACTACATCAAATGAAAACATTACTAACTGAGAGGATTATAACAGCTAGTAACCACTGAGAGATTATTTAAACTATAAATCAAATGTGTTAGTTTGTTTACTGACTGAATAATAGCCTGGACATGTATCGTGTGAACAATGACGTCACATATTGTATTCTGATATAAACAGAGAGATATTCTATGATTAGATTTATCATCCAATTCAACTAATTTTCAATTATCAAAATGGGTTTTGTGGAGATTTTTATAAATTTCACTGATTGATATCATGAGCCAATTGAAGCTAAACCACCACTGGAAACCTAAAAGCACTGGACGGCCGTTTCGTCCTAGTATAGGACTCCTCAGTGGCAGCGCGCATCCAGAATTATCACAGTTATTTAATTTGTGAAACTTTTGCATCTGTAACAAACGTGAAACACAAGCCTTTAAATTGTTTCATTTTATCAAACAATAACTTTTATCCTTCTTTTAGTGAAGTATACTAAGTGAAATAATATTTTGAAGTATTCTAAGTATATGATTAGATTATAAACAAACTTTCACGTTAGATGGTGGTTGGAGGTAGTCGGCAGGAAACTCTGGACCCGAGTTTCGTGCTACTTGGCACTCGTCATCAAGGTGTATCTGTAATCTTGAGGAAACTGGTGCTCTCTGGAGGATTCGATGTCGTATCAACCAGCTTCACAGTCAGAGACGTTATCACTGAGCTATCCGAGCAGCGACTTTCATGTTATCATCATTATCATCATCATCAAGGAAGTCGAGTTCAAATAGCATAAGTAAGGTATTTGAAAAACGTGTAAGCAATGGTGTTACTAAATGTGGTTTTATATTATCTGTGGCTGATAGAAAGTCTTGAAATGAACTGAAAATCCTGTTTTTCCCACTTTTTTCTGTGATCATATCAAATAACCAGGAATTTCGTAATGTTCAGTTTAGTTAAACTACTTTTTATAAACAAAACGGCCGTCCATTGCTTCCAGGTTTTCAATGGTGGTCTAGCTTCAACTGACTCATGATTTCAACCTGTGAAATTTCTAGCACTCTCCACGAAACTCATTCTGAATAAATTTTAATAAATTAAAAGTATATGTGTTATGTGAAACTACCGAGTGAAAGATACTGACCTTCTGCCACCTCCCAACTAACTTCAGGTGAATCAGTAGTATCCTTTACATTCTCATCTGTCATTGTGTCGACATTCTGCTTAGAATCATCAAAATCATTTGATGCATCTGTTTCGTTCAATTCATAGTAATTTAAAGGTGTTTGTATATTTTCTAGATCCGAACTGTGAACAATATTCACACAACTTATTGGCACATTCAGCATATTTTCATTGATCTCAGCGAGTTCAAACTAAAATAAATTAAGAAAATATACGTGACATGCTGATAAATGATGGAGCCAAAGTGGGTGGGCATATATATTCTAGACTGAAGAAAGTAATATGAAAGAGATGTCTGCCCTTCTTAATGAGCTTTTGGAAAAAGTTAAATATTCTAAAGACATATTGTGAAATGTGAAACATAGTAAACTTAAAGTCTTAAATTGTGAATGTGTATTAAAATTTAGATTCCATCTGTTATTCTTTAAAAGAGAATGAGATTTAAGAAATCACTATCAAAACGTTGCTTAACTGCGGTGATCGGACGAGAACCGGTGCTTTCAACGTGGTATGGTCGTTGGCTTTTTTTTATCTAACCAGCAATACATCCTCTGCCAGGGCAGTCTTACTCACTACCTTCTCGTGGCCATAGTGTTGTTTACGAAAATGAGAGAACGAAATGTGAATGTCCAGCTCTTTAACCGGATTCCAAACCAATGGTGCACATGGGCTCCAGGATCCAGAAGGAACAAATGGCGTATGAACTAATTGTTGGTCACCGGCTACCATGCGACTGCATCTCCCTACGTTGATACACTGTCTTGTGGATCAGACCTTCAGGTCGAAGGCTAAGGGGGTGGCCCCCCAAGAAAACCACCGGCATCTGTTTGGGCACCCGGGCAGTATCACAACCCCTCACACATATCGAATGAGATTTGTGTGGCGCATATATATTTAGTGCCTACTTGTACCAATATCTATGTGTTAAAATAAATAAAATAATAAACTATCAAAATGACTAAGGTAACATTGAATTAGTGCTTATGCTTCATTGAAATATTATTCAATGCATAACGTCATTAGTTCACTTGCCTGGTCTAAAATATGTCAATTTCGTCAATCGAAAATCTAAAGTTCTATACATTTATGGAACCAAAAGTATTAACATGACTAGAACAATTGCTCATATAGTTCACTAAGAGTGTAATGTTTTGAAATGTTAACCTTATATAATTATAGGCAATGTATGTTTATGATTATTATGTCACATAAGCAATACTGACTGGATGATTCTCCCCACCTTTCACCGAGCTGAATATACACAATGACTGATCACTTACTATACAAGTCATAGAACATTATTATGATGAAACCCCGAACATTATACTTCAGCTTGTCTACCCCCCCCCCTTGAGAAATACACCACCCACTTCTTAATATAATCTAGGGCAGAACTTTTGGTTCCAACCACGATACATGGAGAATCCCGTTGGGTTACCACTAACCTCATCTTATTGTAGTCAAGGATTAAAAAGAACTGAAGATTTTGTGCATTCTAACAGTAATTCACTAGCGGTTGATACTTTGTATTGCGTTCCAAAAATGTTTCAAAACATACAGTAGCTATTTGAGCACTTTTCAGGTTTTACTCTAATCTTTACTTTTATAATAGCCTTCACATTGCACTTGTTGTATGATATTACTCAAACTCTTATTTCCAAATGTCTTTGACTTTAGCTATTAAAAGTGAATGCAATGTCGGCTCAGTGGTCTAGTGGTTAAGTGCTCGCGCGCGAAACCAGTAGATGCTGGGTTCGAATCTCGCAGGGGGCGAGGTCGTGGATGCGCACTGCTGAGGGGTCCCGTAATAGAACGAAACGGCCGTCCAGTGCTTCCAGGTCGAGCTTCAACTGACTCATGATCTTAACCATTGAATATTAAACGTTTTAAATGTGACATCTAAGCAAACCTTTGTAAGTTGTTTAAGTTTTTCATATCTGCTGATTTGTGGCAAAGTATTCCGTTCCAAAACATTTAATCGATCAATTAATATTTGTGTTTCCTTGATAGAATCACCCATATCTAAACATTCTACTTCTGCTGAATGAAGTACCAGCCAATGTTCCAAAGAATCTGCGACACTTGATAAGAAAAATAACAAATACATGTACGCAAATGATCACATGATAATCGAAATTAGTAAATAGACTAAACAGTTGTACTAATTCTTCCTATGACTGATGAACGAATAGTTAGAAAACGAAGCAAAAATAATATATATGTAACTATCACACCATAAAATGAGACAAAATAGTTCAACTTTCAGAGTTAGATAAATGCATATAGGCCACTCGGATTATGAGCTGACGTTTGAAATGTTGAGTCGATGAATCAGTTTAGTTGACTTAAATTATAGATGATTTCAACCTTCTTCATTATCTAAGGTTTATTTCTCAGTTCATTATTTGATTGATTATGTTCACACTATTTGCCAATAGAAGTATTAAGTAGTCATTGATCTCAATACATCTGAAATATTTTCAGTATAAAGTTAAACCTCTGTCACTTTAAAAGCATTACAATTTGACTGATTACATTGATAACCGATTCGTTAAGAAATATGAACCTCTGGTTAATGAATTAATTATGCGTGTATAATAAGGAGGACCGCAATAACATACCAAAAACAAGTGTAAACTCCTCCCGGGTTGTCATTAGCATCCTGATTTATATAGAATTTGATAGGCTGAATCATAGAAGCTTAAAAAGCTAAAACTTTGAAAATATCTGTGTGAAAAAGCTCGAATCATAGGCGTTGATTTCCAAGATTAGCCACATACGTTATTCGAAATGATTAAACCAGTGACAGACAGGTTAGTTGCGAAAAAACGCCAGTAGTAGAAACCCTTTGAAATGTATCTGTTTAAATGGATGACTAAGTTCAAGATCAAGAGTATTTCATGTGAATTGTCTTACAGACCGATCAAATGGTTGTGTAAAATAACGAAACCATTCATTGAATGATCAAATTTCAATAGTATAAGAAGTCAATTAGTGATCAGTTATCATTTAACTAACCTTGCAAATTCATTAATACTAAGTTGTAATTCTAGTCGTTCATATATTTGATGCCATTTCTTGTGCAAATTATACCATGATGTTACTAATCGTGTCATACGTAACCGGAGATCTGTTATTATTTGGTCTTCTTCATTGCTCATATCACTCTCATTTTGTAAATCCAGTTGATTTAATTCCATAGATGATGTATCTGACTTTTGACTGTAATTTGCATTTAACCTCATAGATTCAAGGTGAAGATCAGAGGAAATTGATCTAACTGTTGCAATTCGACTGTGTCGTTCAACTTTTTCTTTAATATAATGCGTGTCAGTAACATTCAAATTTTGTAAGGTATTATTCCGGAACTTTTTCTGCTGTTCACTGATCTTACAAATTTGTATTTCATCAGCTGGATTATTAGTTCCATGTTGTTTTCCCATTGCTATTTTCGAATATAACTGAGACATTTCGTATGGCTGATGGCACTTTTCATATCTTGACCTATCATGTTGCATCAAATGTTGTTTGAATGAAGCTTTCAATCTTTTACCTTCTTCTAAATATGACTTGACTTTGTCATCTCTAGCATTTAGTTCGGCTCGCAACTGAAATGCTTGACCAATGGCAAATTTTATATTCTCAGTTGTACTGAAATATAAAAAGGACAATGTTTTATAAACTTTCGGTCATTTAGAGTAAAAACATTGGTAAGTAATTATGGGAAATATTTGAAATATAAAAGTAAACATAAAACCTTGTTAAATTCACCGATGAGCAGACTTAGCAACGAAATTGGACCTTGTTACTTATGCAAAATATAAAAAAATACGATCTAAGTATGGGACTTTTAAGGTTTTTTTGTTACTATGGTGACTAATTCATGCAGAACAACATGAAAACCAACTGATGTATTTTGAGAAGCTTAAAGGTTTCATCTTTCAGCAAACAGTAAGTCTGAGTTTGCTAATGTACCGAAGTTAGTCATTTCACAGATGGAAAAGTAGTTAGTTTCTTTTCTATAATTAGGCACCAACATAACGAGTTATTATTTGTTTTGTTGTAGTCATGATACTACTGTAGTGAACGAAACAAAATTACAGAATATCTTAGTGAAATCTGAGAACCATACAATGTCAATCAATTGTCTAAAACTTGACTGTTCCATTTGCAAATATCAGTCGGCTGTTTCAGACTTCATTGTTCCTGCATGTACATACCAATTGCCTAATGTTCCCGTTCTTTCCTTCTTGATCTTCTTGAGATCCTGCTGCCAGACATTCCATTCCTAATTAACGTTATATACTACTTATGTTGATACAAGTAGCACGAACCACATTACATTCCAGTGCTGTTTTAAAAATTATGTTTTTTTAAGGTCGCGCAGTTAGTTTCTTAAAAGAGACTTTGAAGAAATGCTATTGAACAAACCACTGACATTGATAACTCGCTAGACATGGTTGGACTTCGTGAAAATGCTTTATATTTAATACTTAACCTTATACAGGCTCTCTACTCGAACACAACTGGAAGAGTGAGAACTTATGGCGAACTGTCATCAGAATTGATTACCTCAAATGGTGTTCGTCAGAGCTATCCACTCTCTCCATTCTTGCTCGACTTTGTCGTCGACGTACTTTTAGAGATAACACTTTCCTCGTCTAGATTTCCAGGGGTCGAACTTCTACCAGGAGGTTCACTTGTTGACTTAGAATATGCTGATGACATAGTTTTATTTGGTGAAGACGCTGACAAAATGCAGAGTCTTCTGACCACTCTAAGCAACAATGCAAGCATGTTCGGGATGCGATTCTCCCCGTCGAAATGCAAAATGTTGCTTCAGGATTGGGTTGCATTGACACCCGAACTAATGGTAGGGAGAGAAGTCGATCGCTTCACTTATCTGGGAAGTCTCATCAGTCCTTGTGATCTGGTGTGTGACGAAGTCTCAGCACGAATACAGAAGGCTCGACTAGCTTTTACCAACTTGCGTCATTTATGGCGTAGGCGAGATATCCGTCTATCAGCCAAAGGACATGTTTACTGCTCAGCAGTTTGTTCCATCCTACTTTATGGCAGTGAAACATGGCCGGTAAGAGTAGAGGATATTCGTAGGTTACTAGTATTCGATCATAGGTGTCTTCGAAACATTGCTCGTATATCCTGGGACAATCGAGTAAGTAAAGCAGTTGTTAGGAAACGGGTACCAGGTGAGGATGGCAAATCAATTGGTGACGTAGTGAAACTTCATCAGTTGAGATGGCTGGGACACGTGTTACGTATGCCCAACGACCGACTGCCTCGACGTACGATGCTCAATGGTATAGGAGTAAGTTGTAAGAGAGCTAGGGGTGGCCAGACCGAAACATGGCACAAATCCATTAAGTTACTGATAAGTGGACTGAGTTATGTTGGTAGGTGTAGACTACCTAGTTGGGATCCGCGAGACGATAGCAACTGATGGTTAGAGACCTTGAATTACATGGCTCAAAATTGTTTGCAATGGCGCAGGTACATACACTCTTTGTGTTCTCCCAAATTCCAATCTCCTTATTCCTCCTTGTCTCTTTTTTTTCTCTTCCCAAATTTATTTCACTGTATTATACTCTTTAAATAACACACTGCTTATACTCTTATTACCTCTACCATTACGGGATTTGAATCGACCACTGCATCTCTGTGCTAATGTAGTGTGGATACTCGAACTGATGTTTCTTGTGGGAAACTGGTTCAATGCGAAGCACGAGTACTAAATGAGTTCGATTTTGATAACAATTCGGATAATTTCACATTAACTGCTGTTTACCCTTATCACAAAAACTGTTCTAATGTTTACTCTAAACAATGTGAGAAATATGTTTTAAATGAAGCCACATCATTCATAACTTGGGGATATAAAGATACAACATTATTTCGTGGGGGAGGATAGTGTTGAAAAATCTGTGGTTCGAATTCTAGATATTAATGATTTCATTACAAAACCGACATGCTGACTGTATACAATTCCAGGTGAGTCTGTTCCGATTTCGTTTGTTAATTCCAATACTAATGACCACATTCTAGATACTACAAAGTTTTTATCCAATACAGTGTCGAACAGACTCAGGATGAACATAACAATAAGACGTACAACCGATTACAAACACTAATACTCCTATTTAAGCTGTGGCGGATGTGCTGTTTGAATGAAATAATGACACCACTGTACTTGTTGAATGCTTGATTTTGAATTCTAAATACAATACACTCGTTAGGGCTTGTCTAGTACCTCTTGATTCAATTGCGTTATGTCGGGTATTCTTAGTTCATGCTACAATTCAAATACTACGAACTATCATACGCATTCACGACCCCACCTCGCGGGATTCGAACACAGGACCTATCAGTCTCGCTCCATGCCTTTAACTAAATAGACCACTGTGCCGGTATCCAACGATGTCTAACTTCAACTAACCACTTGATTTTTAATCGCTGAGATTATTTCAGATATAATTTTCACATATAATGACTTCTCTATACTGAGCGCCCGATTTCGGTCAAACTATTCGTTCTAACCATGACGAATATTCGTACAAACTGCATTCAAATATGCAACTTGATTATGATATTCAACTGTTTTCGAAAAACACGTTCTGTCTTTGAACAATTCGATACTCCCATTGCTATTCAATTTCCACTTAGAAATTCATTTCTCATTACCAAATCCTGTATCTCCAGTTACAATCGTTTATTAAGACCACAGAAACCGTTTCATTAGTAAAAGTGTTTGATAAATAAATCACTAACTAATCACATGTAACAATTTTAACTCCACTGAATAAGAAAAGAATCAAAAGGGACACTGTCTAATGACTTTCAGTGCAACTATCTCATTGTTTCTTCTCTATTTCTATGAAGTGAAACGATGATCTCGTCACTCAAATATTTTGCTTCATTCTATGCTTGATCTTCTCCTTCTAACCCACTGTGACCTTTTCTTGAAGTTGGGGAATTACAGATTGTTCATTTCAAGTCTACGTTCTAAACGTAAGTGAGATATACGCGATTTATATGGAACCTGACTAGACCACATCATACCTTATAATATAAAATAAGTATTATACAGGTCAGGTGAGAATAGGGAGACTGTAACTACTAGATTGAGAATAAATAAAGAATAGTAAACCGTATAATAGTTGTCAAAATAATTTAGTCAATTCTTGAAAGACTAAACAAACGAGATTTTAGACGTTAATCGTTAATCAATCAGCTTTATAGATCTCAGTTTCACTGAAGATTTATCGTCCAAATATTGAACGAGGCTTCTGTTTATAAAACTGATTGTCACCATTATCTATGTCTGGTCTGTCTACAAGAGGAGATGGAAGTATAAACAATTCTATATCTACAAACAGTTCATTTCATTCACTTAATGATTATGTAAGCTGCTGTTGTATGGCAACGTATACTGAAGTAAATGGGAATATTTGACACTTCCATGAAATATGGTTATTAATATTACTATTGTGGTGTGTGCTACTTATATCGACATAAGTAGTATATGACATTACTCGTGAACGAAATGACTGGCAGCAGAGAGACAAGAGGATCGAACAGTAAGCAATGGAAGCAGAACGCAATTTGTATGAAAATTGTACATCGTATAATAATAGTAAATAGAATTCAGTCAATACCTGGAAGGCTTGAAAAACATGATGTAAAACGTTAATCGTTAATCAATCAGTTTTAAATATCTTAGTTTCACTGAAGATCATCCGTCACTCGAATATCTCAATAGTGAAGTATGAAAATATGTAGCTGGATGTTATTGAAAGCACCAGTCCTCCCAAAGATTACAAGTGGGCCCTGATGATGAGTGTTAGCCAGTATGAAACTTGGTTCAAGAATAGTTTTCTATTTACTAAGTTCAACCAGCTAACAACTCAACAACTTACACTAGTGGTCATACTGAAACTTGATCTAGAATATTCGATCATCACTAAAGAATGAGTTGAGCATAGCTTTGCTTACTACTCAATCATCAGTCAAAAGTGTAATTCTACCTTGTTAAAATAATCTATTGAAATCTACTGAAAGAATAATTAAATTAAACATGAATTTGTGTTGGTTATTTTGCAGAACTCATCAGATCGTTATGTATGACTTCATTCATTAAGTCTACTTGATCATTCCATAGTTTGGCTTGGATTCATTTTATGATTCTGTTTATCTTATTTATACAGATTTACATACTCTTAATTGTATGATTTGATTAATGAAGCATACACTATGTAAATGTAATGAGTATGAATAAAGGAATTTCATGAAAACGACTGAACCAAATACATTTTCCTGTTCGAACATTCCCTTATCAAGTGTTTGTAACCATTTTTATAGTTGTGCATATGTAACCTGTTATTACTATGACTACGATCATGTACATAGTGTGATGTTTGTATGAACTAATGATTGTATTGTGCTGGATGACTGCCTGATTTCGAATTCCGAATACAACACTTTCGTCTGTCCTCACCTAGTTGTATTTGGT